GATGTAACAAAACACAATACAAACATTATTTGAACTTTTTACAAAGTTAACACATAATATATTCGTTTTGTTTTAGACTCACCGCAAAAATCGCTGGGAACTCCAATATCACATTTACCAACACGAATACTAGGATCAGTAGTGTAACACCATGCTCCATCACTGTTGTCTGGGTTTCGACAGAAATTGTGATCTCCAAGACCCGTTCCTGGGTTTTCGCTAGGTGTATCTGAGTGATTATGCGGGGTCAGTGATGTCCATTTCTGACATTCAGTTCCATCAGTCGTGGTGTTAACGGCTCCTCTGTAGTCGGTGCCATTAAAGTCTGTATAGCATTCACCTGTTAACAAACGCACATCATAATCGATCGGGATCAATGAAAATACTCAATACAGTGAAATAGACAAAACAAAAACACACCATTGTCTCGCATAGAATTATAAATGACGTACCCGCTGGAATTGATGGGAGAGATGTCGTAGGTGCCACTGTTGTTACACCTACAAAAGGTAATATAGGTTAATGGGAGTGAAGTGAATAATACATAATTAAATCAAATTATTATATTTCTATTTAACATTTTAAGTTAGTTTGTCAAATTCATTACATACTGCAATCTTCACGGGGCTCTCCTACATAACAGTAATTCCATCTAACTTCAGGGTTAGTCGTATAGCACCACACCCCATCATCCCCATCAGGGTTGCGACAGTAGTTGTGGTCACCAAGGCCACCAAATGGAAAATTGCGTGGCGTTCGAGAGTGGTAGTGTATTGTTTGATCTATCCACACGGCGCAGTTTTCCCCATCTTTCGTTATGTTTACTACACCGCGGTAATCACTTCCGTCTTTCTCTTCATAGCATTCCGATATTTCTGGAATAAAATTACATTAAGTGTATTCCCGTAAATTTCCCATTCAAAAATATGGGAGTGTTCATCAATTAATACACTCTCATGACACTTACCAACTGGTTGATCCGTGTCCCGAAATACCAGCACCAGGATTACAACCAGTAAAGCTATAGCTACACCAACAGCAGCAATACAAACAGCTATCACCAGAAAATTTGAGCAATTTCCCTATAGTGTAAAACCAGCAAAATTCGGTTAGTAGCAGTATTTTTTTGTAATTTATTCATTATTTGAATACAGAAATGCTTTCAATCAAAACAGCAGTTTGTTCGCCGGAAAAGAGTTTGTTTTAAAAAAGGTCTTTAAACGATTAACATACACTTACACAGTAATACATTAGCTGGTGTTAATATATTTTAGTAGCGTGTTTATTGCTAAAACATTCATGAATGTATAAAGGCACAATTATGTTAATCTTCTAATCTATTAACTTCACATGACCTTAATAATGCCAACAAATATTTATTTATATAGATAATCACAAGATACTCCCTGATAAGTTACAATATAAGAGGCACAGTGGTGTATTGCTCGCCTTCATAGACCGGTTGTTTGAGGGCAGGAATAATTCTAGTTAATTTCAACAGAGTATAACAAAGCAGTTATGAATACATATTTATGAAAACCCCACTATTTTAGGATTACTGCGAATTGACCAATGTTTGTAGTTTTTCTCCTAAAACATATTCGCAGTTCAGTTGTAAACAGTTTCAAAAGTCGGTATTGGGACTACAAATTCATTTGAACCTTTACCAACTTCACCAGGCAATATAAGCAGACAACATGGCCGCTGGAAACCAGCTCATCGAGTACGTATATTTCATCATTATAGATGTGGAATTGATATTCATAATTCATCGACAACTCCCTGAGTGAGTGAGTGTAAGTATTGATCACATGATGTTCAGGCGAAAGGTTACACTCTAATTGAATGTAATGACATCCTCATCCTTTTTCGGGATTCCGATATTCGGTGGTGAAGTATTATCCCATAAGGGCTTGTTTCTGCATAACTGTAACCCATCAATCTAGTGCCACAATCACAATCTAGTCTATGTCATTTGCCATATTAGCTGCCGCAGTGCTCGCCTGCCATCTTGGTTGAATTTGACTCATTAGCAGATATTCACTAAGGCCATTCGGAAATGTTATCGCCCAATTGCCATACAATTTTTGCTGGTGTCAAAACAATGTAAGTACAGACAAATTATGAATGTAATACACACTTTTCAAACTCTCGATTATAGCAATGCACCCTGCTTACCCTGCTCCTTCATCATGATGTAACTAATCAAAGTATTTTATATATTTTGATTGGTGAGAAAACCAATATTCAGATGTTATTTTTTATCACTTGAGACCTTTTGAATTATTTGAATTATTCGAAATTTCATAACCTCAACATTTCACAATGTCCAGATACCAATAAGCCATTTTAGCAAGCTCCAAGTTCACGAGTGACAATCACGCATCTAAGCAACCAGTTGAGTCCATGACACATGTCAAGCTTTCAGTTCAATGACAACCACATTGCCCTGCGTGTTGTAAACCTCATCTCGTAACAATGTAAACCTCATCTCGTAACAATATCTGTGACACTTGAAGCTGTGAATGAATGTTAAATGGTGTGCTTACGGCAATTCTAAGAGTGTTTCTCGCATGCAGCAGAAATATTATATAAATGATGTGTTTTTTGGCGATCCCCTAAGCCTAAAACACAGTCTGAAAAGTGCGATCATGAATCAGTGCCTGCTCTCGGGAAGACAATTTTGTTCGACACCGCATCACCGAGAACGCGTACGTTTTGATCCCTGCACTTTGTGGAAGCAAAAGATCCTACGGAGTTGCACCTAGACTCAATGCGGGCGACTGCGAGATGTGTTTAATGCCGTATATTCGAATCGCGGAAGATAAGGTCGTCACCGAACCAATTAATTAGAAATCTTTCAACGCTTTGTTCACAGTCGGATTGATGACACATTAAATAACATTGTTAGCGCTAGGTCATGACTGTGGCGACTAACATGCACTATATTTGCCACATCAGGTTTTCATTAGCCACACATACTTGAATTTATTATCAATGAAAAACAAATTATATTATCATTATATAGGTATTCAGCTTTATAGTGGATATTATCGTAACGCGTTATAGAATTGCATGATATTGCAAATCAGTTATTTTGCCTACCACATGAGTCATTTCAAATTTTAGTTGGTATATGCATGTAGCTATATACTAGTAGCTCCATGGTATATGCTAATGTGGTAATGTAGAGTGCTAACGCCGGATAGTTGAAAACACAAGTTAAGCTGAATTCTGAAACATAAATCGTTAAAGTAACCAACGGTAATTTCAAAGGACCGGTGCTATTACAGCCACGTTTGTTACGTTCAGGAGTGTTGCATAACAAATCAGGATCTTCCCCGAGTTCAAAAATCATGCACAGCATTAGCGATTGCAAGAAAGATATTTTTTTCCTAGTTTGACGATGAAACTCCAAATTTACGCAGGAAGCCTTTCAGCTGTCACGGTCTAAGAAATTATTCGGTAATTTAACGATCAACACAAAATGATTATTACGTGCTAGCAACCGGTTGCTAGGCACCTGTATGAATGAGGCTTTTTGAACGCTGACGCGATATTGTATGCATTTCAAGAAAAAGTATAGCATTTGACAAAATAATATATCAGTTTATACATCAAAGATAAGCAGCTTAAATATTTTTTATTCTGTCATTTTGTTTTCGGTGGCCAGTATGCAATATAATCAGAATTCTGCTTCGTCAACAGAATATTTACAATCAACACAAAATAATCTAGGGCGATAATGTTTACCAACTTTTCCCTTCAAAGTTTTATATCTGGAAAATATTCCTAATGTAGCTATGTATAAATGCACACAGTATACTCACTGCTTGTACCATTGTGAATGCCCAGGTGTTACATATGACCTGTCAATAAAAAACAATGTCTGTTAGTATGATATCATTTCTAATCACTTGACCCCAAGAACCGACTGTCAAATGATTCATATCAATTCCCATACAACACAGTATACAATTATTGCCATAAATATCGTTTCGATATTAGACACGAAATATTAATTTTGTTGATATTACAATGCTACGATTTTGGACTATTGGAGATTGATTATTCAAAAGTGTAGATATCCGAGATGTAATATTCTAAGCGGTATGTTATTGAAAGTTGCCATATTTACTGTACATATTTATAAAAGATTTGCATTTCTTGAAACTAATTATGTTTTTTTTTATTTTTATTTTTAGAGTACAAAATCAAAACCACTTCATATGATACCTTTCATCTGCATGCACGTTAAATTATGAGATAAATAGTTGAATATTGTCTTATTCTCTTACACCCACGTTTTTCCGTTGAATATAGTAAATTATCTAGACGTATTTAAATATGAACAGAAACATCTAATAATAATTTACATAGGCTATAGGTAAAAGAAAGTTTTAGGTATTTGACACTTGTTTTGACATGAAGTACTGCGACCATATCCGTGCTTGGATAGAAACAACTCAACAAGTATGCGAAATTGGAACATTACCTATTGCTAATATGGCAGCAGACCCTATTCCCACCTGCGTTCTGCGGCTTTCATGATTATTACTCCACACATAAGTTGGAATGTGTTGTAAAACTCGTAGTCACAATTATATAAATACATGAACATAGTATTGCCAATGAATAGTGCAGAATAACAAATTACTATTGCAACAGCCCTATCAAATATGAGAATATTATATGAAATAAACTATGACCTTTTTGACGACATGCTGTCAATATATTTCCCACTCTTGACGCATATAATATTAAGGTTCTCACATCAGATATAGATTTGTGTATAGCATACCATTTCGACATATATCATTGGAAGGTCTACCCGCATTTATTTCAGTATGAAACACGCCCTGACTAACAACATAAAATAACATAAATATAAATTTAAAAATCATTGTGTTTTAATTTTTTTATAAATTATTTGGATAAATTAGATCCATAAAACAATGTAACAATATGTTGTGTCACAATATTAATAAGATAATAGAATGTGTGAAACCGACTCTCATGGTTGTCAATTGATTGAATGTGTGTTTTCTTTAAAAAAGTAGTGGAAAGGAAACTAAAACATACAGTAATATTATAAAAACAATATATACAATTGACCACTCTTTTTCATAATTTGTTTGTTTTGAATATCACGTTTCTCGAGCCGATTAATATTTCACAGGTACTTTATTTAGACAAGTGGATAATAACCGCCATTTTGTTTCTAGTCCGATCTGAACATATGGCCACCATGAAGGACGAACGATTAAATAAATAACGTTACAAGCATATGCAATATCATATTGAAGCATAGTTGGAAAATTACATTTCCACACAGTTATCTTGACCCTATTCTCAAATAAATTGATACATTTTGTATAGGCGAACGTTATTTATTTAATTGTTGAATACACAAGACCTGACATTTAACTAGTATAATTTCGCCAATACAGTTTGACTCATTGGGCTTTGTCCCTAATATTTCACGACTTCATTCACGCTTAAATAATAAGTAAACGTGTTGCAGTATATTTGGTTGAAAAATAGCTCATTATGTTCGTTGACAATAAAGCGATGTTCAAACGAATGCGCCCACTAGGATACAACATATACTCACAATTTATGCACTCTTGATTAGTAGCTTATTCGGCTGACGGAATATTTAACTTCGGCAGGAGTTTATGTCGCGAATTGTCGATAGTATTCCGGGAACACGTACTATGAAGACGAATTTCACCAGTAATATAACGACTAAACCGCTCACGTTTACCTATGCACGAGATAGGAAATTTCTAGTATATAATACGAAATGACCATATGCTTCAAATCGGTATTCTCAACGCGTGTACTTTTTCTGATTGTCTTTTAAGTGATGAGAATTATACGACGGCAATAGTGTTTATTTCCCTCACCACCTATGTGTTGTTCCCAGCACAGAGTTGTTTAAAATAATGCCCAGCATGCGATTAAATTTATTTTTAGGTATGACATGGATACATACCTCGCGTACGCAGGTTAAACCACCAAACAATCAACACGTCAAAGCAGTTATTCACCAGTTTAGGTTATTTCTGAGCAAAAGCAT